TTTATCTTTATCTTTATCTTTATCTTTATCTTTATCTTTATCTTTATATTTATCTTTATCTTTATCTTTATCTTTATATTTATCTTTATCTTTATCTTTATCTTTATCTTTATCTTTATGTTTATGTTTATGTTTATGTTTATGTTTATGTTTTTGTTTATGTTTATGTTTATCTTTATATTTAAGTGGTATTTACTGAAGGACGTTGGTTATATCTAATTTTAATGGTCTTGGAAATGGAGAAGTAATTTTTATCGAATACTTTAAGCAATACCAGGGTGGCCCAAAACAGTAAAGTCGAAATTTTAATGCTCCACCCCCTTAGCTTAGCGAATCGGCTCACAAATAAATATTAATTATGGAACGATTAAGAAATGAATCAACAGAGGTTTGACTTCCGTAGCGCGGAAATTCATTTTAATATATTTTTGCTGATTTAATACAATTTTCCTTTAATTTTTTCCATTACGTATTTTACATTTTCGCCGATACCTTTAACTGAAGGTTGGTCGGTTACTCGGTTGATGTACAGACGTTCGTTTTTTGTGTGCAAAATTGCACGGTTTCATTTCTTTCCTTTTTTCATTTGTTTTGTTTGTTTGTTATAATTTTAAATTCATTGCTGTTATTGTTGTACGTGAACTTTTTTTGTTTGCATTTATGCAACTTTCACCCACACAATATTGCCATCATCGTTGGGTGCTTACTTGAGTAAATATATGTACATACATTTATACATTTTTGTGCATTTTTAAAGCTGCTCGCTAGTTACATACGTACATACATGCATAGTTACATACACAAGTAGCTGAGATGCACATGCGCTGATATAAATCTATGAATTTTTCTCTACATCAAAATTAATTTTTTTTTGACACTTCTGCTATTTATTAATTTTTTCACTTTTGGTACTGTTTAAAACAAAGTGCTTAAGTGTGAAATTTCTCAAACTATTTGAAGTCAAGTATGGATGGAATATTTCACTTTAATATTTATCTTAAATGAAAATAAATCTACAGTAAATTTGAAAGTGGCCTTCTTCCTTAAAAAAGTTTACTGAAAATTATCCAACATTGGTATGGGGAAACTTTTTGCATACAAGCACTTCTTATTTATGCAATTCTGCAGTCAGAGGTATCAGTTTAACCTAGGTTAGCACATACATATGTACACTCATAGATACATATTTGTATATGCACATTTACACTTGTGAACATAATAATAGAAATATAGCTACTACCTACATTAATCGCATGCAATTATATACATACATATTTTACATAGGTACATACATACATATGTATGCGTGTTTATAAATATGTTTCTAAGTATGTATGTATGTGCATTTTGTCAGTAAAAATTTTATGTCCGCTTTGGTTCGGTTCAGTTTGCCTCGTTGCTCGTTTTGTATGCTACACGACAGCTGTTGGAAAGTTCAATTACTTTTCTAGCATCATCATCAGCAGCAGTAGCAGCAGCAGCAACAACAACATTCATACATAATCGCAGTTCGAGGCATAGCACGGCACAGCATCCAGCACTCAACAACCATATTCCAGCCTTCTGTCTCAAACATCCAATTCCCACTTCAAGTCCAACAAAAAATTTTCTCCTCAGCTTCAGCCTCACAACCCACTCCACAATCGAATGCTTTCGCGTGCGTCCAACTCAATCTAGCTAGTAGCTACCAATTTTTGCGCGGAGACTGGTTGTGGGCCTGCCCTGGCATGTTGCTCTCAACACAATCTTCTGTACTGATATTATTATTTTTGTTGTTGTTGATGCTACCATTTGTGCTACTTACTACTTACATACTTCTTCACCTTTTCGGGAAAAATGTTTTCTAGAATATTCCAGCTTTTGCATACATATCATCGAGAATGGACAGTAGGTGTAGAATGAGGAAAGCAGCAGCGAAAATAAACTCAACACCAGCTCATGCTCAACAATAACGCATCGGACCAATAATAAAAGCGTTTTGTATTTTTTTAAATACATACATATTTACATACTTATATGTACCATGTTGGACTTTGGTTAGTATTGCTTTTATCCAAATGTATGCTGATTTATGTTGCTGTAGATTTTGTAAAGTAATTTTTTTTTTTACTTTCCCTTTTTTGTTGATTTACTGAATTATCTGTATCCCTTTAGCATGGGTTCGAAGTTTTCAAAAAGAATAAATTTTTTTCTAAAGCTGAATCTCCACTGGACATTAAATTTGTGCATTAAAAAAACCGGTTAAAAATGAAAGTAATTATGGGAGTTCACACCTGTCTGGTTAAGTGGTTATATTTTTTATTCAGCTTACAGCAATAAAATACACTACGCGGAATAAACATTAAATTTGTTACCAACTGCAGTTTTTTTAATGTAAAAAATGTATCGTCATTTTTGTAATTCCAATGCCTAGTGGAAATCAGGTATAAAGCAGGGATCTCACAATTTTTACATTTGTACAGATGTATACATTTTCACCGATACAGAGTGCTGTTGTTTGGAAATTTTGTTATAGAGATTAACTCATTCTCGATATAAATTTTTAAACAACTCTGTGACTGCCAAATGTACAAATCGTATTTCGTACTTTTACAAAAGTAATGCCGAATTTCCACTAGTTATTGAAGTGACGAAAAATGTGTACCATTTTGATTTTGCCATTTAATGCTCAGTGGAAATCTGGTATAACATACCTATTTATTCTGAAAATTTCCGACTATTTTATTAACAAAAATTCCCGTTTCAACTTTATTTGCCGGTTACAAAATTTAAGTTTAATGCCACGGTAATATAAATTACGAATAGATCTAAACTCTAGAAGTCAGAACATTTCAGAAAACTAAATGGACAACTTAAAGAATCACAACTGGAATTTTACTCGCTTCAGATGTCTTGGATGGTGGATGAAGTGGAAGTTGTGAAAAAAAACTTTAGTGTTTTACAGACAAGCCATTTGATGACTGTGACAGTCTTTCTCTCCGGCGATGAAAGTGGAAAGGAGCGAGATATGCGTGAATTATTGAAAGGATCCCCAGAACAGTCCTTACATCGGCATTAAAACTTAGTATACAGCTTTCAGGAAAAATCTGAAGAAATATTTTCATTATTTCTAAGGTTTAAACGGATTCAAGAATTTTTTTTTCCTTTTTTGAACGTCATTTAGATATATATTACTTTTCGTTTTTCTTGAGAGCTTTTACATACAATGCTAATAGTATTAAATAGGGAGATTAAAGTAAATACTTTGCTTCTCTGTTTCAATGTAATCCTTTCCTCATTTTAAAGCCACTGTGCTCAAGTGAATCAAAACATAAGCAGATTTTTCGTAAAAAGCTAGATAAAAATCGAAGTAGAGCAAGTACTTTAATCTTTTTTTTTGTAAATTTTATTGTGGCGTATTTTATTCTTTTTCACCAATTTCTTAAATTTTTCTTCAAAATCGATAATTTTTTAAAATGAAACTGAAACGAAACTTCTTCGATGTCTTAAAGTAAAGACATTGGCCGGACCCTTGGAAAAAAGATAATGTGCCTATTCAAGCGAAAAGGGGTGTATATTAAAGCTTTTGATGAAATTAGAACCCTATAGTGAAATACTTTTGCTTTGTTTTTTTCTTTGTAAATCTCTTTACTTAAAATTTTTTTCTTTTTCATTTCATTTCGTGTTCTTTTTTGTTGTTTTTATTTATTTAACTTTTTTATGTTTAAATTGCTATTGATTTTTATAATTTTTTTGTGTTTTATTTAATTGTATTTTATTTTTTACAAGCTATGCACTCTTTTCCATATAAAAAATTCCTTTTTATGGACGCAAAAAAATATTAAAAATCAATGCCATTTTTTAGCAACTTAAAACTTGCACTTTATTATACTAGAATTTAATAAGCTATAAAACTGCAAGCCAAAAATTATTCTAAAAAATAAAATTAAAAGTCATGGAATTGAATTGAAAAATTTTTGGAATTTTTATAGTTTGTTTACAAAGTCAGCAATTTAGCTTGTTTCTAAATAAATTGTTTTTAAATTACTTACTTAATAATTTTGTTTTAAATTTTGTTTATTTTTTATTATTGTTTTGTTCATTTTTTTTGTTTATTTTTTATTTTTTTTTATATTTTTGTTTATTTTTTTGTTAATGTTTTTTAATGATTATTTGACGAAGTTTCTGATGCTGTATTCGTTTTCAAACTTATTCGTCAATAATGTATACACAGAAGTACTTACATATGTATGAATATACAGAAGGTGTTTCACAGGGTGATCCAAAACTCCGTACAAATATTTGGCATACGTATTCCTTGGACCAAAACCAAAAAAAAAATAATAATAATTGGGACATTTTTTTCCCTAGGGCTTGTATACTGAGTTACGGCGAGTATATATTTGATTTCCTCGCAAAAACATTTGTACGCAGTTTAGGATTACCCTGTATATAGTACGTACACACATATTTACATATTTATATGACTAGGTACTTCATTTTGTTTTCTGCAGATTTGGTGTCTTTGTTAGTGCACATCTTCTTTTTAAACCTGCACTAAAGCTGCAAAAAATAAAAATCGATTATTCGTGTATCTTTTCACTTTGTCTTTTCCATGCTCTTCATTTGTACATATGTACACATAAGTATGTGTGGGTTTGTATGTACATACATAAGTGTATTTTGCGCATAAAAATTTGTATTTATGTACATACATATGCACATACAAACGTACTGACTGATGCGACTGTGATGTTGGCATAATGTGCCCAAACTCACCTCAGTAAATTATAAATATGTTGTAGGTACATACATATTTATGTTTGTAAATACATATGTACATTTATTTTAGTGCCTCTACACACCTTTCTCTCCCCCTCACTATTGCCTATTTTGCTTTGCTCGCATTCCAATATCACACATAAGTACATACACGTATATTAAAAAGTGGTGAATACTTATAAACATATAGAAATACATACATACAAATATACATGTGCATGTACATTCTTACAAACACGAAGTGATATCATTGCCTTTGTTTAAATTGCAAACTATACAAATTAGCAATGAAAATAAGACCATATGTATGTACATACATATGTACCTACAAACACCCGTCCGATCTTCAACGGAATATCGTCATTCAGCACGACAGACTCTATCGCTTCTCTATTGTCACATTTTACAGTGTTTTTAACACTTTCGATATTGTACAAATATGTATGTACTATTTATATATATGTATGTATACAATATATAGTATAATTTATTGTTGCTCTTCACTTCTTATTTCTAAATTTTGGTTAATTCTTCAAAATTCGCATTCATTTCAGTATCTAAAATTATCAAATTGCTCGTTTGATAAACAAATTTATGCGCATATTTGTACTTGCATGCATATATATATATATGTATTACCCAATGTACGTATATGAACACATAGTATACAATATACAAGTATTTTGCATACATAAATACGTTTTGCACACTTCCACTACCTATCGATCATCTATTTGATTCTGTTCGCCTGCTTCTGATTCTAACAGCCAAGTTTCTAATCGCAACAAATTGTGCCTGCCATCAAAACAAAGAGAATTTCGGTCCTAAATATAGCAGCGACGAGAAGTAAATTCAGTAAATACCATCTCTAGGTATAGAATAATACAAAACTAGTGTGGTATAAACAACGTACTTACTTGCACACAATGCATATGAATGCACATTAGGGTGGTGAAAAATAAGTAAAGTCGGAATTTTAATGCTCTCACCGCCTAGGATTGTTCTATAGTTAGGTTAGGTTAGGTTGACATGGCTGCCAGGCCCAGAGGATTGTTCTATATCGAAAACAAATATACCATAGGGGTATTCTCTGAGTCTTGCAAAGCCCTTGCACGGTGCACGGATTGCACGGTTTGCAAAGCTGTCCCATACGAAAACCGGTTTTTACCGTGCAATACGTGCAATCTGTGCACCATGCAAGGGCTTTGCAAGACTCAGAGAATACCCCTCATGTATTTTATATGGGTGAAAAACAACTTTTCGTTGAAATTGTACGGAATTCTTGAAAATCAATATTTTTCGATCGGAAAACAATGGTTCTCTTCATGAGACTTCCAATATTAGTACCCAATTGTTTATTTAACCATTTTTTAATATTAAAGATTTTTTATTGGTTCCCCCATTGCATTTTCTGGCATTTTATTCGGGTTTTGGCGGACCTATAAAATATAGTACCCATGAAAAAACTGGGTATTATTATTGGGAATCTCCTGAAGAGAAACAGAGTTTTCCGGTCGAAAAATATTGATTTTCAAGAATTCGATACCATTTCTATGTAAAGTGGTTTCCCCCCATGTAAAATACATGAAAAACTTTGAGCGCTTTGAGCGACCTCTAAAAATATTTTTTGATTTCAAAAAAAAAAAAAAAAAAATTGGGGTATATTTTTGTTCGGTATAGGACATATGTATGTACATATATTAGGCTAGGTCGGGAAAAAATACTTTTATTTTAAAATTCATAATTATAACCCAGTTTGAAAGGTGATAGAAGAGTATCTTATTTAACGTCATCAAATTAGTTGTCTTTGGCACGTCTTACAATTAGTTTGTCATTATTTCTATTGCTAGAAAAAGTACGTTGCTGTTGCTGTAACTTTTCCTCAAGAAGTAAATATGTATAGAGCAAAATTTTTTTTGAGGTCTGCATACTGATTTCAGATATTTTGATAGAAGTAAATTTCTTTTTAATTTTTTGTGCGTCATATTATATTAATTTTTTGTTTTTTTGACAGCTG